ATATATATATATATATATATATTTATATATATATGCAGGGATATTTAGAGTCGAGGAATTAGGTAAAGACCTCTGTGGAGATCTTGCTTTCTCGATTGGCTTGAGAACATCCTAGCCTTTGCTCCTGGATTTGGGGCCAAATATAGTCCCAAAGAGACAGACACTTTTGTTTTAGGGTCTGTGGTCAGCTGTTCCCCCTGTTCACTGCCCATCTCATGTTGGCGCAACCCTATCACCCCCGGTATAGGCTGGAACTGAGGGAGGAGAGATTGAATTCTCAGCATAGCCTAGATCCAAGGATTGATCCAGGGGTTCTGGAAGCATCCTCTGGTGGTTTTTGTGGTACAATGTCCTGGCTGGTGTTTGGCTGGGCAAGGGGCAGGGAGGAATGGCTACAAATTAGAGGCTCCTGCCCAAGCCTGCCAGCCCTACCCAGGCCTGGGTCCTGGCTCTTCCCCTCCATTCTGGTGAGTGGCTCATTTGCAGGGAAAGGATGAAGGTCACTGATTTGTGCCCACCCAGGAGCAGAAGGGACTGGGGCTCAAGGGGTGGCCCTTCTGTGGGGCCCCTGGCCCCCAACCCGAGGTCCCCCCATGCCAGCCACTGGCCTGGCCTGGGCAGGGCTGCATGCCCGTTCAGCGCTGCTGTTTTCATAAGCTAATGAGGGCAGAGTGTGAGCCACAGGCGATGATGTTGGGATATTAACTCTGACAGGAAGCTTGATCATAATTATCTTAACGAGGATAGGGTTAATTACAGTGGAAACTTAAAAGTTCTCTCCGTTTGAATCCACTGGAGCCCAATGCGTTGTGATGTTTTGTCATTTTGATGTGACTTTGGAAAAGGCACTGGGATGCTCCCAGCAGCCGCTGCAGCTCCTGGGGGAGCCCAGGCAGAGCCCTGGGAATGAGGGAAGGAGGTAAGAGGATGGTACCTGTGCGTGAGATCCTGGCTGCATTGCTGCTGGTGGAGGGGGAGGCAGGCAGCCTGCAGGGGGTTCCAGGGGTGCTGATGAGGTTTCCAGAACAATCCAGGCCTGGATGATCTCCCTCCAGCTGGCTGTGCCTAGGTCCTGGGTGAAACCTTGCTCTCTCCTACCAGCCCCCAGTCCATACCTCAGACATCGCACTGCTCCAGGAAGCTGGCGAGTGATGCTGGACTGACGGTCGGCGTCTCCACGGGGGATCTGGTTTTGGGGTGCATTTTGCTGTCCATACACAAAATGATAGCAGACAAATTGTCATTTTATTTAACAGCACATATTTGCAGGCATCTGGCATATAGGGGAATGAACTCAAAGATCTACACACATATTTTTTCTCCTATTTCTCCCTAGAAAACAACAGTAAAAAAAAAAAAAAAAAGAAAAAAAAATCAACGTAAAGGGTAAAGCCACCTCCTTCCAGGTGTATGTGTATTGTCATCCATGTACCAGCTGGGACCCCCAAAACCTGTCCTCCCCAGTACCTCCATTCACTATGTTCTCTGCCCCCTGACTTCGGTGCCCTGGCCCTCAGCTCTGGATCTAGCTGATTAAATCCCCAGGAGCACACCACACTGATAACATGAAAACAGGGATTTACTCATTAGCAGTCACCCATGTAATATGGTTCTCTTTTTACTGAGCAGCTAATAACATCACATGGCAAAAAGAGTCTCAAAACCAGACAGGTGACAGGGGATTCGAGACTGATCTTCCCCGCTCTTCTGGGAGGTTTCACTCTGGTGTGGGGTTCTGCCCCATAGCCCACCCTGCAAGGGAAGAAAGGCTGTCTGGATGGAGGTGGGCGCTTCCTTGGTGCTCCTGGGCTCTCCCCATCTTCATGCTGTGTCATTTTGCTTTATGCCTCCCTGGAGCACTTTTGGAAAGGAGCTTTCTTCTGCTTGCCAGTTGCCAACCATTTGCTGATTCTCATCAGAAGAGTCTAATATTTGCATAACATAACTTAGGAACAATGTATTTGGATGCTGCCTTTGAGCAGAGCCCAACTGATGTTTGTGCACGAAGGTCTTATTAGCCACCCATAAGGCTCCCTAAGGGGAAGTGGCCTCACCTCCCCTAGTGGCAAACAGGCCCAGTCCTGAGAAGCCTTTTGGCACATCACTCCCTAACCCCTAGTGGAGGGACTTCAGAAGAGCCCGAAAGTCCCCTGCACAAGCCTGACTTCCTGCACACCTCCTCTGTGGGTTTGTTCATGGGCCTGTCCACTGCATTCCAAACACACCCCCAGGGTCAGGGCGTCAGGAAACAAAACAGTGAATAAAAGGAGGAAGGAAAAGAAAAAAAAAAAAAAAAAACAGCGTATGCTACTAACCAGTTAGCCATCCTTCGCTTATTCTTTACAAGATCCTATGAGCTGGAAGGAACACAGAACAGTAGAGTTCAGATGGGCTATTGACAGGCCCGAATTAACACAACAGGAAATGGAGGAGCGGAGGCAAAGTCCCAAACCTTCCTGCCTAGTTGTGCGTACATTGTGGGTTTTTACAATTTTTTTTGTTTGTATTTTTTGTGGGTACATAGCAGGTAGAGATGTTTATGGGTCACATGAGATATTTTGATACAGGCATGCAATATGTAATCATCACATCAGGATAAATGGGATATCCAGCCCTTCAAGCATTTATCCTCATAAGTTGTATTTTGCCTCTAGGAACCAAGAGGCAAAAGAGAAAGGAGGAGGAAATGAAATGCGATGACCTCTGGACCCCTGCTCCAAAATGTGTCCTCCCTTGGTGGGACTGGCAGTGTTGGTTGGAGGAGCAGGCATGCTCTGGGAGTCAAGTCCTGGGTGGGACCATCCCGAGGTCTGGCAGGAATGGAATATGCAGGCAGAGCTCTGGGCCCAGTGGAATCTACAGATTTAATTACAACACATTTTACACCTCGCAAGTATTGACTCCCTATTTTGGAGTCCTCTTGGCAGAGATCCCACAAGGGAGCTATGGATGCCTTGGGAAAGCTCTGGTGCTGAAGTTCACACTCACAGCAGATGTGCAGACATTGCACACACAAGCACACGGGGCTCTAATGGAAGCGCTATCAGTAAATGAATAAATAGTGTGGACAACTCATCTCCCTGATTCGTCATTTTATAGAATAGCCAGGCATCCCATACGAGTCTCTCTCCGGTCCACATCGTAGCTCAGCTGTCAGCCTGTGCAGGCTCAGCACATCTCCCGGGTCTGGCAGGTGAACGAGCTGGGAGTCTGTGTCTCTGTGTAAGCCCCTCCGCCGGCCGGCTTGCTTTAATTAATGTCTGTGTGCGCCCAGGCAAGCACTTGTGCACAACTACCCCGTGTCACCTTCACCCCCAACACTCATGAGAGCCCATAAAATTAAGAGTTAACTTTCAGCGATGTGTATAAGCAAGGCTATTTTTCCCTTTCTGTTTTTTTTTTTTTTCCTGGAGTCGGGTACTTAATTCTCTCAGTTGCCTTTTTATTTACTGCCTCAACATCTACAGGGTTGCACTCTACACTTCTTTCAAAAATTAAGTGAGAAATCCACTTTCCATAAATTAAAACAGTAACTTCAGGCCAGGAGCTTTGAAGCAGCAATTCTGCCAACCCCTGTCTCCCCACCCGCAGCAAAAACAAATACAAAGAAATAATAAAAGAAAAAGGCCTCTCAGACCGGAGTGATTATGTAATTCCACAGATGCCTTGCCTTTGGGGCAGCCACTGGGACGCTGGGCAGAAGCAAATTAAGTGATTAGTAAAGAAAAAAGGCAGAGGAAAAAAAAAAAGTCAAAGGATGTGAACGCAGAGAAAGGAAGCCTTCCCTGCCGTTTCCCCCACGACTGTACAGAGGAGAACCGCTAAGAAATGATACTTGAAGTTATATTTATTATTGTAAGAGGGTATGATATTTCTGGGCAGGAATGATGGATGACAACTTGAATTTGTGTCCAGGGAATGAAGGTGAACTGTGACAGAGTTATTTATCTTGGGAATGGAGGTTAGGGTCAGCCGAGGCTGGGTGCCTGAAGGCACAAGACATTGACAAATTTATCCTGCAGGCCGTATCTGAAGCCCTTTGTTTTGGATCCTGGCTACTCACTAAGTGACCCTCATCCTTCATGTTGGCAATGCGTGAAGGATGCGGTGGGTGCCAGCGGCCCCTTCTCCCCCGCCGCCCCCGCCCCGACTCCTGCTACTAATTCTTGTCATTCACTTTGCTGACAGGCACCAAGCCCAAACTATTCCCAGTCCTGAAAGGGAAGGTTAAAATATTTATTTCGGCTCATAATGGCCTCCCTGATTTAGTGCAGGATCATTTTTCCTGTTGCCTTTGTCATTGCAGGTCACTGGAAGGACTGAGCGCATTCAGGAGCCTGGAGGAACTCATCTTGGACAACAATCAGCTAGGGGACGACCTTGTGTTGCCAGGGTTACCCAGACTGCATACCTTAACCCTCAACAAGAACCGAATATCCTTTCCTCTGCCCGCTGCCCCCACTCCCCACCCAGCCCCACAGTCGTCCCCCCACCCCACCCTGCACAAATACCTGCAAAATGTCAAATGAGTTTTATGTGTCAGCTAAATTAAAGTATGTGAAATACAGTTCGTGGGCAGACAAAGCATTCTGTCTTCTGGCACTCGGGACACTTCAGAGTAATTTATTATAGGTCATTCATAAATGAAACGCACCATTATATCTTCCTGTTGCTCCATTTTAGTGTAGGGATCTAAGTTATGGCTGTGAAGAAATCTTTTTAATAGATAAAAATAGAGAAAGAAAATAATGTCACCGCCGCAGAGGCGGCGAAGCCCTGTCTGTTTGCTTGGGCTTGTGTGGGAGGGCGACCTCTGGTGGGAAGTCCTGTGTAATGCCACTAACAAACCGTCTCCTCGGAGGTTTCTGGAAGGCTCTGGGGCAGGCTCAGGGAACGGTTTTGGTGGGGGAAAGGAGCTAAGGTGGCAGAGACATATGAAGCCCAGGCCTGGCTATGACCTCACTGGTGGATACCATGCTAGGCTGGTGATGAGAGGCCTAGGGGACCCATGATAGTGTACGGCCTTCCCTACGGAGGCAAGGCCCTAGCCAGCCTAGGGTGAGACTTCCAGACACTAGTTGCTCTGGATTCTGTAGTGGGGATGGAATCAGGGAACCCTTGCTGCGACCTAAGACCCATAGGTCCTGCAATGTCAGTGTGGTGGATTACCCGGCACTAGAATGCCAGCTCAATAGGACAGGGAGTTTCCTTGGTTTTGTTAACTCCTCTGTTCTTCACACAAAGAATAGTGCCTGGCACCAAGTACAAGCTCAGTAAATATTTGTGGGATGAATGCATGATTATCATTAGCTGTTCCTTATTGAGCACTCCTAGGGATGAGGCATGGTGCTGGGTTCTTTATGTGTGTTGTTATTCATCCTTACCAAGCCCTGTGAGAAGGGTGTGTCTTTTCCATTTATCTAGACATGGAAAGAGGTGAGGCGTAGGCACACAGCCAGACATTAACAAGATGCTATGTCCCGGATGATTCAGTGTCAACTGTGTTGTGTCCAAAGTCCAATGTCTGCATTCTACTGTGTTGCTTCAGACTTGGTGGTCCAATGGCTTTGTTTTATTGGATGGAACATTTGAGACCTGGAGTAGTTAAATCACTTGTTCACATTCATACAATAAATTAGAAATAGAAAAGGAACCATGGCATTTTCCTCTAGAATATAAAATAAAATCAGATATACATGTAAGGTTTAGCACATATACATATGCCAGCATTTAAGAGTGATTTGCAGAAGTATTTGTTAGCTACTGTTTATACTTCAAGCCATAAGTTAATGTTTTCTTCATTCTCTAAGATATTGTCTCAGTCAGCTCTTGCTGCTATAGCACAATACCATACATGAGGTGGCTTAAACAACAAACATTTATTTCTCACAGTCTGGAGGCTGGAGGTTTGTGATCAGGATGCCAGCATGGTTGGCTTCTTGGTGAAGATACTTTCTCGCTGCATCATCACATAGCAGAGAGAGAGAAAGCAAGCTTTTTCAAGTCGCTTCTTATAGGGGCACTGATCCCATCAGAGGGATCTACCCTTATGACCTAATCACCCCTCAAAGGCCTCATCTCCACATACCATCACTTTGGGGATTAGAATTTCAACATATGAATTTGAGGGGAGAACAAATATTCAGATCATAGTATTATAAATATGCTCCTTGTGGTCACTATTAATTGTCACTTTGATAGAAGTAGAAGGGGAGGGCCTGCAAGTAAATTCACAGTCTTTGTCATAATGAAATTTTGGTGTATTTTCCCCTCTTATATCCATTAGTCAACCAAGTTTCCCAATGACTGTTTGAAAAATATTGTAATCTTATGGCTTTCTAGGCTGTCTTACATGATCACTTGGCCAATATTCTCAAATCAATCAAGGACAGAAGGATTGTCAGACATATCCTATGTCCCAGGTCTCTGTAGAATATTAGATTCCATGGACTTTGGTTCACGTCTCAGCTTAATCATATTTAGCGGTGTGGCCTTGAGCAAGTTATCTTCTGTGAGCTTCTGTTTCTCATTTTTAAAGAAATACATTGGACTGGATGATGGTTTTATTCTCTGTATTGCTGTCACCAGAGATAAGCAGGCCTCTTGGCTTCAGAGTGCTGAGAGGTGTTCTGTCTTTGGTTGAGTCCTTTCCCTATTCTGTGCCTCTGCTTCTCCCATCTGTAGCAGTAATGCTAAGGGAGTAATGGTAATAGCCTAGGAGGGACTGAAGCAGAAGACACTGTGTGGCTATAAACCTGACTGGTGATATCACTGTGCTGTTGTAGCACATTTCTTATCAGTGAATGTTCTAAACAGACTTCTTTCCCTTTTTTTCCTTTGCTCTACAAATGTGATTGTGAAGATCAACTTCCCCATCTACTTGACTCAGAAGTCACAGAGAAAGGTAGGTAAAAATCAGGCAATAACCACACATGTTCTCTTCTCAACCCAGCACTTCTGATGCCACTTTTTCAGCTAAATGACTCTCCTACCTAACTGTGAGAATGTTGCAGGCTTTCCAACAATTTCTATGTTCCATATTGTTATTGCTACCCCATGAAATGCTTTAGATATGGGCTCTGTACATTAGCTTTTGCTGCATAATAATCCACCCCAACATTTAGTGGCTTAAAACAGCAAATATGTATAATTCTATGGATCAGATGTTTGGCCAGGGCTCAGCAGGATGGTTCTTCTGCTGGTCTTACCCTGGGTCACTCATGCAGCCACATCTACCCGGAGGCTCAACTAGGGCTGGATGGTCTAAGATGACCTCACTCATACGTCTGGAGGTTGGTACTGGGTGTTGGCTAAACTACTTGTGTCTAACAGGATAGCATAAGGCACTTCACATGGGAGGAGTATTCTAACAGCACAAGCCCCGTAGTACAAGTAGTCTTCAAGTTCAACTTATATCATATGTGTTAATGTCCCGTGATGAAAGCAAGTCACATACCAACTGTAGAACAAATTGAGGAGGGGACTGCATAGAGTGTACATATAAAGAGGCATAACTCATTTCTGCAACAATCCTCCCAGGAGACCTTGGCATTAGCATCTTGTCTCCTTAAGATTTTACTTCATATTTGTGATAAAGGAAGCCCTAGAAACAAGTAACTATTGACCTCCTGAAAAAGTATTAGCTCTTTTGTGTAAATTGAATCTTTAAACATGTTAGGAAGCTTGCTGCCAAATGAGGTTTCATCTTGAATCCTTTTGTGAAATTTGCTTCATTTTTAATTTTTTTGGTTTGTTTTTTGGTATATGTAAAATGGTTATTCACCCCACCTACCACATAAAATCTAGACTTTTCCACTTTGGTTTGACTCACAGTTAAATGTGTCTATAATAATGCTGTAGGTTCCTAGACCCTGGCCACTTGGGTCATTGGCTTCTTTGATCCTTTAGCAAGAGGGAGTATCACACAGTGGTTAAGAACAACAGGCTCTGAAGGCAGACTTCCTGAGCTTCTACCCTAAACCTGCCACTTTTCTGCATGACCTTGGGCAAGTGATTTAACATCTCTATGTTTTGGTTTCCTTTGAAAATGCAGACAATGCTGGTACCCATCCCATAGGTTGTTTTGAAGATTATTCTAAATATCTCAGACATATTAGATTCTAGTAACATAGTAAGTGCTATGTAAGGGTTACTATTATTGTTGTTATTATTATCCTAGAGAATTGTGTAAACTCATCTGGTTTGACTTGGGTCACATTATAACCAAGGCCAGAGTACAGATATACTTCTGAGTGTAGAATGCTTCTTTGACTTGCACAATTTAATATTGCCCTAATGGCATTCCGTGAGTTGGGTACTGTTGGTGAATAATTCTTATTTTTATGGAAAAACTAGGAGTGCATGAGCTTTCTGAAGTCACGTAGATTGTCAGTAGTGGGGCTTAGTCTAGAACCCAGGTATGCTGATTCCCAGCTCCAGACTCTGAAACCCAAAGGAGCGGCAATCATTGTACAAGGAGAGGAGCCCAGATACAGGAGGAGTCAGCGTCCTGGGCCTGCTTCTGCAAGGTCCTGCTCCCAGCTGGGGCTGCCAGGAGTCCGCTCTTAAAAGAGATTCCAGAGCCCAGACCCAACATCTGGAAAATTCCTTCTGTGTTCATCAGTCAATGCCTTCCTGCCATCTGCATACCTCCTGCTGGACGTCCCATCTTTTTCCACCAGCCCTTTTTCTCATTGTGTTCAGTCCTCAGTATTGATGTCCTGCTCTGGTATATCTGAAAGCCTGGTTGTCTGAGATTACCTCTTCATTTCTTGGTTTGTAGGGATCTCATTTTCTTTCTTAGGTTCATTGAGTCTGGCCAGGTAATCACTGGCTATGGACTTGAACCCCTTCCCCACTGCTCTCTCTCTCTCTCTCTCTCTCTCTCTCTCACACACACACACACACACACACACACACACACCCATCCATCCATGAGCATGCACACACCATCCCCGACTCTTCCACCAGGAGAGGTGGGATATTTGGTAATGGTCTCAGCCATATCATGTCTGAATAATCAACCCCAAGTAAGGTTGACCAACTGAAGATTCAGGAAAATGTAGGTACTTAACCTTTGCACAATCAAATGATTCTCCTCTACTTTCCTTTTGGCGTGTGTGGCGGTCACATAAGCAGATTTTATTTGGAATCGCACTTCATCTTCTGTCTCCCTTTTTGCTTCAGCACATGTACTGAATAGCCAATGAGTTTGAATTATAGTGCCAGCAGGAAGAAAGTATGGTGCTACATGTTACACAGCTGGGCTGTGGCACGGAGACCACTCCAGCAAGTCAAAGGTGGGACTGGAGTTCCCTTAGCCATTTGCTGTGTCATCTTAGAAAAGATTTGCTGTGTCATCTTAGGAAAGTCTCTACACCTTGTCAGGGGCCTCAGTTTCTTTATAAAATGGGTAACACACACTTCAGCATAT